ACTTTGCATGGAAAGTTGATAGGGGAGGGGAAGTGAACTTAGATAGCATTTCATATCCCCTCAAAACCAATGAAGTAGAGATTCTTTTTTTATGATCATTTTACTGCCAAGGGAGCTAAGGCTTTTGAGAGGTGAGAAGTTTTACTTTAGGTCACTTAGTAGTGCCTGCTGTTTGAATGACTCCAAAGCCATGTGTTTAACCCCAGCTGGAGGAGCCACACCAACATGGCCCACAAGGGGATTCAGAGCAACTCAGTCAGAGCAGGCCTGGGACACCTTTCATAAGATCACTGGGCCCGCTGGGGACATCTCCCCCTCCACTGTGCCTCCTTTCAGCCCCTCTGCTGACATATAGCCAGACTGTGAATGTAGTCTCTGACATTCCCTGAGAAGAGTGGCTCTGCCCTCTAGTGAGGAAGTAAACTTTTACCCAACTTGGGAAACAAAAGGACCCATTCATTTCACACTCAGTTACTGGGCACCTTGCTATAATAATCCGATTGCAGTGCGGGAGATCTGGATTCAATCCCTGGGTTGGGAAGATCCCTGAAGAAGGGAACAGCTACCCACTCCAGTATCCTGGCTGGGAGAATTCCATGGACTGTATAGTTCATGGGGTCGCAAAGAATCAGGCACAACTGAGCAACTCTCACTTGATATATTCTAGGGTTCCTGCCCACCATGAGTAAGGCATGGTGTCTGCCCTCTGAAGCTCACACTCTGGTTGGGAGACAGATATAGAAGTGCAGCGTTGTCCTGCTATTTGATATATGTTTTCACAGATTGCAACCGTCTCTGTCTGGGAGAGTCAGGGGAGGCATATCAGAGCAGAAACAGCTGAGCTGGGCATTGAAGGATCAGTAGGAGTTCACTAGATGCAACAGACTGAGGCTCAGAGGGGAGGGGAGGGGAAGCGAACTCACACTTAATGAGCGTGCTGTGTGCCAGGCACCTCACTCATCCCATCTTGTTTAATTTTCATGACAACACTGTAGAGAGATATTATTATGACCTTATGCTAAGTGGGTGGTGCTAGTGGTAAAGACCTGCCTGCCAATGCAGGAGATGTAAGAGATGTGGATTCGATCCCTGGGTCAGGAAGATCCCCCTGCAAAAGGGCATGGCAACCTTACAGGTGAGGAAACAGATGTTGAATGAATTTCCTGAGAGGTTCTTCTCCTGTGGTACATGGACCCATAGGGGAATCCCTAGAACTTTGAGCAGGTCAGCAAGGTTAAACATATTTCCACAATAACATTAAGATGCTGTTTGCAGTTTTCACTGTGTTGATGTTTGTACCACTCATGCAACAGCAATGGAAAGTGAAATTGATGGTGCCTTAATACTAATAGGGCTTTGGCACCAAGTTGTACTAGTTGTATTTTTCACCAAAGGTCCGTCTAGTCAAACCTATGGTTTTTCCAGTAGTCATGTATGGATGTGAGAGTTGAACCATAAAGAAGGCTGAATGTCAAAGAATTGATGCTTTTGAACTGTGATGTTGGAGAAGACTCTTGAGAGTCCCCTGGACTGCAAGGAGATCAAACTAGTCAATCCTAAAGGAAATCGATCCTGAATATTCATTGGAAGGACTGATGCTGAAGCTGAAACTCCAATACTTTGGCCATCTGATGTGAAGAACTGACTCCTTAAAAAAAGACCCTGATGCTGGGAAAGATTGAAGGCAGCAGGAGAAGGGGATATCAGAGGGTGAGATGGTTGGATGGCATCACTGACTCACATGAGTTTGAGCAAGCTCCAGAAGTTGGTAACAGACAGGAAAGCCTGGTATATTGCAGACCATGGGGTCTCAAAGAGTCGGACATGACCGAGTGACTTAACAACAACATGTAATTTGAAGGGGAAAAAAAAAGCCAGTACTCACAGTTTGAAAAAGAAAAGCCAGTTTTGTTGAAAAATGTCCCTGATAAAGCTGTGCAATCATTGATTTTATTAATCTTGACCCTGGAGTACCTGTTTTTGTAATATTTTCTGTGTTGAGATGGGAAGTATGTCCAGAGCACTTCTGCTGCACCTGGGGAAATGACAATTGTTGCAAGAAAAAGCACTTGTGTGACTGCTCAAGTGGCATGTTGAACTAGCTTTTTGTTTTAGAATTTTAAAAATGGAATATTGTTTTTACTTGAAAGAATGACTGACAAGCTATGATTATTCAGACTTCGGCATTTGATAGTTATTTTCTTGAAAATGAGTGAGCAAGCCTGCTACTTTAAACTGACATTTATCATTTGTAGCCCATCATAAAAGTTGAGCTTTCAAACAAAAATTGGAATTTTAGAAAACTTCTGTCTTTCATTTCCCAGTATTTAATAATTTTTCTGATGAGATTACTTCCCAAATGACCAACACAAGATGTTACAGAGTCCTCCATGGGTAAAAGAGTTGTTCAAAATGCAAGACAGGACAATAGATTTTAATGTAACAGTGCGAAATGTTTATCACTCTACTTTCAAATTTCACACTGCAGCTAACCTTTAAGTTTAAGAAACACTACGTATCAAGTTTTGGTGTAGTATGAGAGAATAATATCCACAGTTATCTGAAAACTTATTAAAATGCACCTCCTTTTCCATCTATATGTCTGGTTGGATTTTCTTCATGGATGTCAACTAAAACAAGACATCTCAATGGACTGAATGTAGACAAAGATATGATAATCCAGCTAGGCATTAAAGAGTTTTGCAAAAAGTGAACAGTGTCACTTTTCTTTTTCCTTTGTTTCGGAAGTTATCGTTATTTTTCATAAAAATGTGTCACTTATGTTAACATGTACTGGGCTTATTTTTGTTAATGGAAAATTAAATACCAAATAAATATTTTAAAGTGCCTCAGTTTTAACCTCAAATACAGTAAAAGTCAATAGATACAACTTACCTTAGTTTTACTTAATCTCCTTAGGGTCCTTAATTTTTAAGCATGACATTGTGTGACCAAAAGCTTAAGAACTGCTGCCCTAGGCTCTCTGAGAAAATAAGTGTTCTATGATGATCTGTGTCATCCCAAAGTCCACTTGCTGTTCCCTCAACAGTGATTTTCAGCAAGTGGTTGGAGGGGATGGGGTTCACCCTCTCCCGCTGGGGGAGATTTATCAGGACATCTGAGGGGACTTGTGGGGCCTGAATCTTTGTCTTAAGTCTACAAATCCTTCATTGGATGTTTCTTTCTCTTCGATTTTCCTTGACTCCTTTCTCTGTTGTTGCATGCATGCGTGCTGTCAGTCGTGTCTGACTCTGTGACCCCATGGACTGTAGCCTGCCAGGCTCCGCTGTCCATGGGATTTCTCAGGCAAGAAGAATACTGGAGTGGTTTGCCATTTCTTTCTCCAGGGTATCTTCCTGATCCAGGGATGGAACCCAAATCTCCTGCATTGGCAGGCGGATTCTTTACCACTGAGCATCCTGGGAAGCCATTGTTTCCTCCCCCTCCGTCCCCAGACCTTGCTTGTGTCCGTGACCCCCTCTGCTCCCCTCTTCTCTTCCTGCTCTGAACTGGGCCTTGGGGGCTAGACCTCCAGGAAGGAAACACAGTGCTCGGCTTCAGAGGAGGACTCAGGGGGCCCGGGGGCTGTTCCCAGAGGCCCGAAGGGCCAGCCCAGGTAGGACCCTGAATGCTGAGCAGTCGGGGTGGGGCCGCAGGCTTCTCACTGAAGGGTCTGGCACAGATGGGGTTGAATCGGTGATCTTTCATATCCAACCCAAGTATAAGGCTGTGTCTAGCTGAGCACTTTGAATCACCCACTAAGCACAGAATCATTCCCGTCCTGATGCTTAAATGGAAAAGCCAGGCACGTTTGGCCCCTTCTGTTCCTCTCATCCACCCCTCAGGCCCAGACGCCAGAGGAACGGTTCGGCAGGCTCCCGCCTGGGGCACTCAGCAGTGTGAGTTCCCGTCTCTTCCAAAGCCCTTCTGTGTTCCCTCAGCCCAGCCCTCACGAGCAGGTAGAACAGCCTGTTTCAGACAGATGCCTTCAAGGTGAGAGAGAGGAGGATTGTTTTTTTTTAGATTGAGGTAAAATTCACAAACCCTAAAAGCCACCATTTTAATAATTGAAAAATGTACAGTGTAAATGATCTTTAGTACATTCACTATGTTGTACAATTGTCATCATTATCTAATTTCAGAACATTTCATCACCCTGAAAAGAAATCTCCATTAAGGATTCATTCACCATTCCCATCTCCCCCTAGGCCCCTGGAAACTACTGACCTATTTTCTGTCTCTGTGGATTTCCCTATTCTGAACATTTCACATAAATGGAATCATACATTATGTGGAGATAGATTTTTTTAAAGAAAAATGGAATATTTTATATGAAGATCATTCATTCTTAGAATCAGAAACTTGACAGTTTCAAGACTTTATTTAGAAAGTCAGGAGTATCAATAATAAACTCATTAAGAAGAGTCAGGCTGAGTTTGGGGGAGAATGTAGATGTATGACTGAGTCCCTCTGTTGTTTATCTGAAACTATCACAACATTGTTAATCAGCTATACTCGGATACAAAATAAAAAATAAAAAAAGAAGAGTCAGGTTGGTACTTCTTGGTGGTCCAGTGGCTGAGACCCTGAGCTCCTAATGCAAGGGGCCTGGGTTGGATCCCTGGTCAGGGAACTAGACCTCACATGCCACAGCTAAGGGTGCCCAGCCACAGCTAAAGATCCCGTGTGCTGCAACTAAGACCCAGAGCAGCAAAATAAATAAATAAAAATAAAATATTGAGAAAAAGAAGAGTTAGGCTGGGTATTTTCCTTTAAATGGTCCTTCAGATGGGGCTGCTGTTTCTCCATCCTAGGGCTGAGAGACGTGTGTGATTGGCATGGGGCTCTCACTGCAGACCAGGGGCATGCTCAGGGACCTGTGGGTTTTGCAAGGTTTCCTCTGGGAAGCTGGCGGCAGTGCACGTCCGGGAACTGGCCCTCACCTGGGGAAGGTGCAGAGCGGGGTGTGTCTCTTCACTCTCCCTCTGTGTCTCTCGTAGGTGTGAAGAAGAGAACCAAAGTCATCAAGAACAACGTGAACCCTGTGTGGAATGAGGTATGTCCTCTGCGGGACCAGTCAGGGGGCTTGGCGGCTTTTTCAGTGGTGCTGTCATCCAGAGGAGGGGCTCTGGTCTGGCTCGCCAAGGAATCCTCCGGGCAGCAGGAGCCTGGGAGGAGAGGTGGTGGCCTGGCCTGGGTCTGCCCTGTGATGAGGCTGCAGCGTGGAGAGGCGTGAGGAGTGTACTGTCTGCTCCTTTCTGGCCAGGCCAGCCAGATGGAGGGTGTGTTAGGCTCTCCTGTCTCCCTTACACAGGCTGTTGTCTTTGCCCAAAGCCTCCTCCTCCCCACGGCCCTCCCTGGCTTCTCCTCTGCCTTCTGCTGGCCTCTGCCCGCCTCCTCAACCAGCTTGCTTCCTTTTCTGTTTTTTCTTTGGGTTACATTGAATACATTGTTTTAGAAAAACTGACAATGTTTACCAATTCCTGTGGTAATTTAAACCACAGGAAGTAATTGCCTGTTTGCAGTAACTTATCTGTGCAAATGATTTACTTAAGGCATTTTGCAATAGCCTTTAACAATTTTAGTGAATAAATCTGTGTTGGGAGATGCTCATTTATTTGCTCACCAATTGAGGTTCTTGTTGGTCAGTGTTATCTGCTCAGAGATTCATCATTCTCTAATTGGCAAAAGAATTGGCTCCCATCGGCTGTATAACTTGCTTTTGTTTGAGACTTAGTCAGCCAGCTTTCTTCATACGGCTCCCTGGTCATCTCTGGAGGCCCTGGCTGCCTTGTGTGGGAAGGGCCGAGGTGCATGGGGTGCCTTTGCTCTGAGAAGGATCCTGGGATTACTGGAGACCTCTGTGGTGCTAATCCATGCTGTCTCCAGGGGCCTGACTGCTCCAGGAGCACATTGATCTTGGTCCCTGAGGGCCCTGCAGAGTCACCTGGCATTTCCCCCAGCTGTGCCCCTGGTGACTGGTAGGACTGAGTTGGGGGGAGGGGGTCACAGGGGTCTGGTCTCTGCTGCTGCCTTCGGCTCTCGCTGTCACTTCTGAAGCTCTGGGACCCTGCCACTTATGTACTCATTCTTTTGCTTGTGCATCCCTCCCTCCCCCAGCAGTGGTCTCAGATGCTCCCTCAGTGCCCAGGGGGAACCAGACACAGTCTCTTCTTTTCTAGGGGCCCACAGGTTAAGACATCTTTTCTCCTTCCAGGGATTCGAGTGGGACCTCAAGGGGATCCCCCTGGACCAGGGCTCCGAGCTTCTTGTGGTGGTCAAAGACCATGAGACGATGGGGAGGAACAGGTGAGGCGGTGAGGGGGGCTCTGTGACCTGTGGGTTTGTCTAGGTAGGGTCGTGGCAGATGCCAATTTCAGAATCTGGACTCTGGGGAGATGGTGTCTAGTGAAGACCTGTCACTCATGGGCCTGGCCCAGAGGAGGAGGGGAGAGGCTTGACTGCAGCATCAGGATCTCAGCTGGGGGTGAATTGGCAGGGAAGGAAGATGGGCTAGAGACAGATGTGAGTGTGTTTCCCAGGACAGCCTGTACCCCAGGGAGTAGGGAAGAGAAAGCCCTCTGGGTCCTGCTGCAGCCCTGAGGCGCCTGGCACTGCCCTCTCTCCCCACCCACTACGGGAGACGGGCAAGCAGAGCAGCCACTGGCGGGAACGCTCCAGGAGGGCTTCGTGCAAGAGGTGGGACTCGAGGTGAGAGCTGTGGTTTAGAAGTCAGAACAGTGATAACGGTCCACACTGACTGCCCACCATCCTCTGGCAGTGTTTTCTGATGTCATTTCATGTGTCGGTTTGTAGTGGGGAGGGTTTCCAGGCAGGCGAAGTAGCAGGAGCGGAGTTCGAAGTTTTGTGGTGGTAAAAGCAGGCTCTTTGGCAGATGGTGGGTCCTTCCTCTTGTACTTTGCTCCCGGCCTTTTGTGTGCTGGTGGTCGGGGTGTGGGGAGTGGGCAGGGCCAGCCGAGCTTGCAGACTGATGGCCCTGTTGACTGTGGGGTGGGGTGGCCTGGGAGACACAGGTGTGGGGGCACACACTGCTGAGCCTTAAATGTGATGGTGGGGGTCCAGCGGCCCCTGCTGGGTCTGACGGTGCCGGCAGGAGTGGGTTCCTGCTCTTGGTGCCATTTGCTGAGGTCCGGACCCAAGGATCAGGCATGGACTTGCTGTTTTGTGACCTGCTGACAGTGGAACCTTTGTTTGGGAACTGGGTGGTGTCTGGGGCCCGGCTGTCTTTCCCTGGGGTGGGGGAGGGAAGAGAGGAGGAGGGAAGATTCTGAGATCCGGGGAAGGCCGACAAGGGTCTCAGGCTGCAAAATATCTGGGAAGTTTGAAATCTTAAAAAGCTTGGAAAAACCCCAACTGCCACAGTCTCTCTGTGGCCCTGCTGGCCGTGAGTGTGGAGCTTGGTACATGTGGGGAGGATGGGGGTGCTTTCACTGTGCCCTCCCAAGGTGGGGCTGCAAGTGTGGGGCCCAGGGCGTCTTGGGTCCATGTTGTCCAGTCTGGACCTCAGCAGCCCCCACCTGCACAGGAGCAGGGTCTGGAATTAGTTCACGCTAAGCTACTCCAACACAGTCATTTTGTGGGGAAAAGGCAGCTTCTGACAAGTATGAATGGTGGATCTGCGGGTGAGGGAGGAGCAGTGTTGGACTCCAGGTAGTCCTGGAAGGCTTCTTGGAGGAGGGCCACACAGGCTGAGTCAGAGGCCAGGGTTGGCTTTAGAGAGGAGAGGAATGGAGGGCCTTCTGCTGTTCAGTCACGGAGGGCAGCGGGCTAAGGCCTTACAGGTCGGACTGAGTCACACAACTTGTGCAGCCCAGTGAGAGGGGAGCAGGGGTGCCCGACTGGGAGGGGGCCTCCAGCATCAGGCTGAGGATAATAATAGCAAATCCACAACAGCTGATGTTTACCGAGAGCTTAGCCAAGTGTCTGGTCCTGTGCTGAGTCTTTATATAAAGGATCTTTTTTAATCGTTGGGCGTTGCTGTTATACTTGTCATTATTACAGAGGGAAATCGAGGCTCCAGGAGGCTGGGTGATTTCCCCGAAGGTTAGTGATGGTAGAGCTGTGATTGAAGGGTGGGTCTTCAACATGGTCAGAATCACTGTGTCTCTGCGCCTCGCAGAGTCTTCTGGAAGCCCCAGGAGGGTGCTCAGCCCTTCTGGAGGGAGCTTAGCAAGGCAAAGGCATGCAGAGGAAATGCAGGTTTCATTTTCATGATCATATTCAGCATTTTTCAGGCCCTGTGGGGAGATTTCTAATACCAGGAAGGCAGCAGGGTTTGAGAACATATTTTTGATCAATTCAAGAGCCAGGCTGGCCCTCAGGGTGATACCAGGCCAGTGTCACACATGGATCGGCCTGGCCCTGTGGGTTGGAGGTCACAGGAGGGGCAGGTTGGATCGCACCTTGGAACCCTCTCGTTGGCCCCTGTGGGTGTCCTTTAGCTCCCAGGGAGAAGTCAGCTCTCTGAAAACCAGTTTCCCCCATGACCAGGTCACTGTGAGGCCAGTGTGCTAGAAATCAGTTCCTCAAACATCAATCTGCAGAAGACCTAATTGACAAAGCTTTCTAATTTAAACAGAAACTTCTTTCCCATAACTATTTGATTGTTATTTTTTGAGTTTTACAAACATTTATCTTGCTTTTGTATTTCAAGCAGTTAAAAATTATTAATGGGCTTCCCTGGCGGCTCAGCTGGTAAAGAATCCGCCTGCAATGTGGGAGACCTGGGTTTGATCCCTGGGCTGGGAAAGTCTCCTGGAGAAGGGAATGGCTACCCACTCCAGTATTCTGGCTTGGAGAATTCCATGGACTAAGAGTCCATGGGGTCGCAAAGAGTCGGACATGATGAGTGACTTTCACTTCACTTCAAAAATTATTAAATTTTAATTCAGCTGAATTTAAAAATACATTCACAAACACGTGAAGAATTTCAGAAATAATAGAGTTTTGGTTTCATTGTTGGAGCTGTTGCCTGAGTGGGGTTTGCAGGCTGGAGAGCAGTTTGACTGGATGGAAGGTGTTTGGGGGTAAGCCCGGTGGAGCGGCAGAGGGGAGGCGGGTACACACAGGGCCTTCTGTCAGGCCCCCACGGTTGGACCACACAGCACATTCACTCTGCTCATGAAATGCGAGAAAGGAATCCCAGATTAAAATTATTAACATTTCTAAGGCTGTGAAAGTGAGGAACCTCGACAAGAGCAGCCACGTGGCATTTTACATTCTGAAAGAGAAAAGGGGGGAAAAATTTAGTGAATTCAATTTAACGAACATTTTATGTGAAACACCTTCTCACTACCCTCAAGTTGTCAGTGTCTGGTCAGGAAGCAAAAAGGGAAATGATGGGTGTGACGGTGACCGCTGCCATCAGACTGTCCTCGGTTCCAGTGAGGTTCACAGGGTTGTCCCTTCATCCCTGAACGTCCCGGGTGCTCTCTGAGCCCCACCAAGGGTCCTCCCGGGTCTTCTTCCAGCAAAGTCTCTGACTCCTCCTCTTCTTCTGCCAAACCTCCGTCCTCTGCCTCCTGCTGTTCTTAGAGTCCCCGCAATGCCTCACTCATTCTTTCCAGCCCCTCACTTGCACCTCTGTCTCCAAAGGTCTTTGGCTTTGCTCACTTTCCCCCCCTCTCCTTTTATCCTTTCTCTCCTGTGACTCTTCCCCCACTTCCAGACTCCTCTCTTTCTCCGTGGTTTCTGTGTTTCCCCCGTGGCTGTCGGCAATTTTGAGTGACCTTGTTGTGCTAAACTGGTCTGCTGGCCTGGAGTGGGGTCTTGGAATCTCTCAGGAGGAGAAGCTCTCAGGCTGGTTACTATCTCTGGGCCATTCTGCACCCTACCCACCCTGACCCAACTGCAAGGGTGAATCAAAACTCTGTGTCCATAAAATCAGATTTCAAATGCAAAAAGGAAGCGTCACTCCTCTGGGTGGGAGACATTTGTGCAAACCCAGCTAGGGTGGGTCCTGGACTTGTGTCCCAGGCTGCATTTAACAACTTCCTGTTTACTCTGGGCTTCTCAGAAGGATGTTGGAGGGGAAGCTGACCTTGATCCCTGACCAATTGACCGCTGGAACGTTGAGCCCAGAAGTTCCCAGTCTAGGCTATGAGGCAGTAGCATCACTGGCGGTTTTGACACAACACGCCAGTGCCTGGCCCCATCTGCAAGTTCTGACTTAACCGAGGCCAGAGACTGTGCATCATTACGAACTCCCAGGTGTTACGGAGTGAGAACCAGTCATCTCCACTCTGGACCAGAGCTGCTGGATAGAACTTACTGAGATGATGCAATCATTCTGTGTTGGCTAGTGTGACTGAGGAACTGAATCTTAAATTTTACTTAATTTAAATTTAAATAGTTCGTGTGCATGTGTAGTGGCTGTTTGCTGTGTTGGAGAGTGCAGCTCTCGATTTTTGTAACAGCGCTCCAGCCCTGGGTGCGTCTTAGACGACTCGGGAGCTTTACAATAGATCAGTGTCTGGGCTCTGCAGCAAAGTGATTAAAGGAGAAGTTCGAGTCGCGTGCAGGTCTCAGCACTTCTGGAAATTGCGCAGGGGAGGCCAGTGTGCACCAGGGCTGAGAACCCACTGCATGAGCACAAGGGATGGCTCTCAGTTTTTTTCATGGATTAACTAAGAAGTAAATATAATTCTTGCCATAGTTTACTGATGTAGTTATTGGTAGAAATGATTACCGTGCAATAATCATGGGCAAAATGGTACATGGGCAAAATTGTTAATGACATGAAAAGACTGACTGGAGGATTCTATTGGTAACTGTAAACTGAGAGAATTAGACTTAATAGAATTCTACAAAAGAAAACTCAAGAATGGGAGAGACCTATAGTTGATAAAGCTTGATATGTACCAAAAAATGAAAAAAAAAAAACAACAACCAAAAAACAACTTTGCACCAAACCTGTGTTGGGAAATGTAAATAGAAAATAATTATTACCAATGACAATAATTTTGGTAAAATAAAAATGAAGATTGAAAAAAGGAAAGAGTTTAATTACACTGTATAGAAAATATATCAACAAACTAAATGGGCTTAATTTAATTTGTTCTGAAAAATGCCTTTCCAGTGGAAATTAATTAATGTAGGTGCATTTTTAAAAATTTAAGTGTTTGGTAAATATAAATCTGGGAGCAGAAGTCTCCATGCGGTCAAAGTATCCACTTGTCAAAACACCATGGTTATAGAATTCCCTGGGGATCCAGTGGTCAGGACTCTGTGCTTTCCTGCTTTCACTGCTGAGTGTCTGGTTTGATCCCTGATCGGGGAACTAAGATCCC